CTCAACCATTATCAATATTTTCACAAAAGTATTAAAAACTAGCAATTGACAATATTAAAAACTAGCAATTTAATTAGTGACAACTTTTCTTGTCATTATAATCTTGAATAAATTAGTGATAACATTATGTCATCACTAAATTTTCTTTGATTTTGACTTAACAATAATGTCTTATTAATAGCATTTGATTATTTTTAATGAAAGTCTGTTATAACCATAGAATTTGACTTTCGTTATTTTCAATTAATGATGTACTTTAGTGCTGCAATTATAAAAAAATTGCAGGGCTAAAATATTTGCAAATTATAAAAGTATATTTTCACTTATATGTAATTAACAAATTTTGCCACCTATATTGATGAAAATTTGTCTTTTTGTACTAAAAAATAAGAATAATACTATAGCAATAAAATCTATGCTTCAAACCAAATTAAAAATAAAAAAAAAAGCATGGTGATTGGTCTCAAATGTTGGAAAAATGATTATTTTTATTGAAACTATGTTATAACCATATAATTTGAGTTTAATTATTTTCAATTACATGATGTTCTTTAGTGCTGCAATTATAAGAAATTAGTATAAAATATTAGCAAATTATAAAAGTACATTTTCAATTATATGAAATTAACAAATTTTGCCACCTATGTTGATGAAATTTTTTTATTTTTTGCTAAAAAATAAAGAATAATACTATAGCATTAAAATCTATTGTTCAAACCATATTACAAATCCAGAAAAAAAACATGATTTTTGGTATCAAATGGAGGGAAAATGAGTGAAGTCAAAATTTTGATCAAATCATAGTGAAAGTGCCGCGCAACAAAAACAATATCCAAAGCAAAGCAAAGACCAAAAGCAGCGGAACACATTCTGAAAACAAAAGCAACGGAACACTTGGTCTGAGTTAAAACAACGGAACACTTGAGCAACACAAACTTTCACCGAGCTGAAACAAACAGAGCTTCCCAAAACAGAGCTTCCGCACGGCATTTATCACTTTCACCCACACAACAAATCCGTTCTCTGGCTTCTCACTAGCATCACCATGGCTGTCCAGCATTAAAGGGCAAGGTTTTCATTGGAAAGGTTCATTTTTCTCTCTCCTATACATTTTCCCCAATTTTTCCAAATCCCTAATATTCTACAATATTTTTTGCAAATTTCTGCCCAAAATCTTTTAGCAGCTCTTGATTATTAGATGCTATCATAGCTATGTTGTTATTTACTTGATCATTTTCTCCAATTGCTTTATGGCCCTAATTTTGATAATAGCTTTTGGCATATCCTCTAATTTTGATGCGGCAGTGCTTAAATTTCAAAATCAGAAGCTCGTTGAGAAATTAGAAGCACAGAAAATCGAGATTATTGATTTCAAGGAGAAAATTGGTAAGCTGACGGTGAAACAACTGCCATATGAGAACGTTGTTGCGGTAGTCAGTAATTCGTGGGAAGAGGTATCCATCTATCTAATGTCCTTGATACTACTTTTCCAGTGTTATGTCTCATATGTCTGGACTCTAGATGGTAAGGTTTGACTCCTATTCTAATCTTTTCTTTTTCTTCTGTCTTGCAGACTGTTAAGGACTTGGAATCACATTCTATACACACAAATGACTGTGCGAAATGTGAGCGAGGTGTCAAAGATCTACTTGTCAGAGACGGTGCAAATCCTTTGCCTTATAATGGTATCTTTCCCTTTTTCCTTTTGCCTTCTTCATAGTTGTTTCAAATATTGTCCCCATTCAATATTGCTAATTGTTTAGCATCTCATAATCTATAATACTTGTTGGTTGTAAGAATATTCTGCTACGTAATAGTTTGATCAGGAACTTGGAATTTGAATGGACAGTTGGTAGGTGTCATCTAATAACCTTCTTTCGATCTGTAATAGAGATTGATTTCAGGTATATTGTTTCAGGTTGTTTCAAGTTTCAAACATGCCAATTTAGGATAAGGGTTGAGATGTATTTTTCTCAAACTTGCTTGTTTGTTAAGGTGCTTGTCATGCTCTTAGAATTTGTGATATTTTCCAAATGGTTAATGTTGCTGAGCTTTGAGGATTGGCCATAGTAAATTAAAAACCATGCCATCAGATACCGACCCTGGCAAATTTTTTGCTGTTGCATACCTCTCACTGCCTTCTTTACCCCCACTCTATGTTGTAAAAACAGACAGACATCTCACCACGTATTATTGAATTACTAAATAGCATATCCTGTTTACCAGAAATTCATGCTTTGTCTCCAGTACTTTTTCATGTTTTCCGAGAGCTTATTATTATCTTTTTTTTTTTGGTTTTTGTTTTGGGGTTATGTATTAGTTTAATTTATTCTTCTATGATACAGTTCATGGAGAATGAAAATAAATTATTTCTTTTCATGAACTTTCTGCTTATGTTTCTGAGTATGAATTAAGATGAGTATGAAGTGGGAACTAGCTGATAGAAAGTAGGAATACCTTTTCTATGACATACACGTATTGGTCCATTTATTTCACAGTTTGCAGGCATTGTGTTTTTATAGATTTGAACCCACACAAGAAGCCAGATGTTGCTCCAGGTTTAAATTAATTCCATCTCTTGATTGGGAGTGTGTCATTGTTGGGATCATGCTACCATGCCGAGCAATTTGCATCATTCTTTAGAAATGTTTGAGAGAGTCGATGAATGCTTGGATTCCTAGGAGAAACTTTGTATATAACTTTTTTTGAAATCAGTTTTCATGGAGAATGGACTCATCTGTTTTACAATGTTGGGAATGTGGTGTGATGGAGAGCAGCCTTTTAGCGTGAGGCTCATGTATCACTTCTGTACTGATATGGTATAACCCCATAATATGTGCCCAAAAGATGTATGGTTTCTGGCTTTCCCTGATGTTAGGAAATTTTGATTGCAGACTAATTTATTCATATTTTTTCCACTATATGCGTTTTTAGCTTTCTAATATCTATTATCAGATTCTTAATGATAGCAATATATGCAGTCAGAATTTCCTTCATCTCTTGTAGGACCTGCTCACTGTTCTTGCAATTGGTATTAAAGTGGGTTGTTTGGTCTGATGTTCGTTATTTTACTGCTAAAAGGTCATCTTAGGGACGCGATTGGGTTTGAGAAATTTGTACATGGTTAAGCCTCGTAAGTATATCATTCTTCAACTACTGCATATCGACCATTTGGTGGTTGAAGTTAGGATTGGTGATTAATTGTGGGTCCAAGTACTGTTTCCTAGTCCTATAATACAAGGATATGAAAAAGATCATTACAGCGAGTTAATCAAAAGCCAGGACAGTGATGCTATAATTTGGGCAATTTGGATAGAAGTTGTTAAAAAAAAAAAGTGATGATATATGTGGACCTTGTGGTGAAAGATTGGTGTCAAATACCTCAATGGATAAATACGCAAGAGCGACCTTTTTAGTACAAGAATCTCTTGCAGGAACTTCTAAAGATGTCATGAAAGCTCAGTTAAGTTGGATGTTGGCTCTTAACAGAGTTCGAAAAAGGGATTCTATAAGCAAATGGATACCTTTTCCACCAGCAAAAGATGCAGCCGGCCAAATCCGATAACAGAGCTGTTGCTTTTGATTTTTCTACTTTTAAATGCTGAGAGCTCAAGTCGATCAACATCTGCAGCATCCCACAAGTTCAGGAACTGATCATGACAAATAGTCAGTAAATTATCATTATCCCAATGGATAACTGACTGGAATTTTGTAGTTTGGGGTGTGGGGAAGGACTTGTCCGGCAGAAACACCCCATTAGCCGACCTTAACAGAGGAAGTTGAATAAAACTTTTGTGATTGTCTGCATTTCACAGTTCTAATGGCATAAACCTGTTGATCATCTTTACAAGTAGGATAAATATTTGAGTGAAATTTGGCTTCCAAGTAGGTAATAACACAGAAACAAGCATAACACAGGTCATCCCTCTGTCACGGTGACCCAAAGAGTATTATAGGTTAGAACTGACAAATCAAACTTAGAAAGATCCACTTAAAGCTCAAATAATTCCTTCATTCTCTGTCTGTAGCTATTTAACAAGTACACTACTATTACTCATGCAAAGATCCTTGTGTTCTTTAACTACTGCGCTGCATGGACATTCTGGTTATATTTTTCTTGGATAATTTTACCAGTTGCTAGCACTATCTTCTTAATGACTTCCAACTTTTTAAATTGTGTTCAACAGCTCAAGCCCTTGAAAGAAAACATAACTCTACTAAGTTGACTGTGTGAGTTATTTTACATCTGAACATGTGAATAAATTTCTGCTGCGAATCAGTTTCCTAGCTTTAAATGAACCGACACATGAGATAGATGAAAATATCTTCTAGAAATTATTATTGCTTCAATCAAACTCACATACTTTAATCTCTCGCTCTCTCTCTCTCTCTCTAGAATTAAATCTGAAGACTTAATTCCTACCACTAATTATACAAGACATTAGTGGCTTACCATATAATTGGGGATATTCTTGATAAACAGGGTTGGTGACAAAAGCATTGGACGTTTTCTCCCAGTTGCATTTCAGACCAGATATAAGGAGGTTCTTGTAAAGGCACATACTGCTGCATCTGGAGCGGTGCTAAGATTGCAAATAGCTCCTATTCTTGGTAGGAAAAGGAAACCAATTGAGTGGTCTGAGTTTCAGGTACTGTTCCTTCTTACCATTATTCAGGCTTGAAATTTATATTTGTGCTTTACTCTTCTATTATTTCTCTGCGTTGGGCATCTTCCCTTTACAAATATATGATGCCTGATCCTATGTTTTTTGAACATGTAGTGTGCTGTTAGCTAGCAAAATCAGCCTATGAAATTGATTATTCATGTTATGCCTGATCCTGTACTTGAGATGGTTGATTTTTGCTAAAAATGTGTTTTACACCTTGGATCCCATTGCTGGTATTTGAGGAGTTTAAATTTAGTTCATATTACATTGCATTTGTTTTCTATATAATGTGGCGGTCATATTCTTTATGGTAGGATAAAGGGCTGCAACAATATGGATAGGAGTTGGATGTCTATTAAGAACTACCTAGACCCCAAGTATTTAGATGGAGTTGATGAATTTATTAAGTTTGCTTTTCTAGGCAAGGATCCTAATTGTAAACTGCCATGTCCTTGCAAAGTATGCAATAATTTTGAGGATCAAACTAAGGAAGTCATGGCCAATCACTTGTGTCGAGGAATTGTTGATAGTTATACTAGGTGGATATATCATGGCGAAGGGTTTGAATCTGATGATGAGAATGATGACATAGAAATAAATGACAACGATAGTGACTTTGACAGTATGGAGGAGCTGTTAAATGATGTAGGAGTTGCTAACTTTGGTGAGAGTTGGAGACATTCACCGGAACTTGATACGGGTGCTTGTACCGAGAAAGAAGGAGAAGCAAGTAGGTTTCTCAGATTATTATCGGAGGCTGAAAAATCTCTATACCCGGGCTGTGAAAAGTATTCAAAACTCTCGTTTATTGTCCATATCCTCCACTTGAAAACAATGAATCGGTGGACTTGTAAATCTACTGATATGTTGCTGAAGTTCTTGCATCAAGTATTTCCTACAGCTTTGATTCCCAGTTCATATTACGAGGCAAAAAATTTCATCCGTGAGTTGGGGCTGAAGTGTGAAAAGATCCACGCCTGTGAAAATGATTGCGCACTTTTTTGGAATGAAAATAAAGGCCTTGATCATTGTCCAAATGAAAAATGTAAAGCACCGCGGTATAAATCTCCAAATTCCAAAATACCTAGAAAGGTGTTGCGTTATTTTCCATTAAAACCAAGGCTGCAAAGACTGTTTGTGAACAAAGAGATTGCTCGGGATATGAGGTGGCATAAGGAGAGACGTGTAGATAATGAGAACATGATGCGACACCCTGCTGATTCATTAGCTTGGAAGGATTTTGATAGAAATCACAAGTCCTTCGCTGAAGATCCTAGAAATGTGAGGCTAGGACTTGCTAGTGATGGCTTTAATCCCTTTGGAACCATGAGCAATTCATACAGTATATGGCCTGTTATCCTTGTTCCTTACAATCTACCTCCTTGGAAATGCTTAAAAGATCCATTTTTTTTCCTATCAATGATTATTCCTGGTCCCAAAGCACCTGGAAATGACATTGACATATTCTTTAGACCACTAGTTGATGAGTTAAAAGAGTTATTTGCCACTGGTGTGGAGACATATGATGCCTTCAGGGAGGAGAAGTTCATGTTACGTGCAGCACTTTTGTGGACAATAAACGATTTTCCAGCATATGGCTATTTGTCGGGATGGAGTACAAAAGGGTACAAGGCATGTCCTGTGTGCTTAGATGAGACGACTAGTCTATATCTTAATAATGGTCACAAATGTTGTTACATGGGCCATCGCCGTTTTCTGCCTATTGATCATAAATGGCGTCGAGAAAAAAAGCAATTTAATGGAGAAAGAGAACATAGACAGCCTCCTAGGACCCTATCAGGTGAGGAAGTCCTCCAACAACTTCTTCGTATTGAGCAAGTTGAGTTTGGCAAGGCACCTGATTTGCTGCAACAGAAGAAAAGAAAACGCGTGCAGAACAGTTCAAATTGGAAGAAGATGAGCATATTCTTTGAACTTCCATATTGGAGTACCAATAAAATTAGACATAATTTGGATATTATGCACATTGTCAAGAATGTATGTGAATCTTTGGTAGGTACATTAATGAATATCCCTTCGAGAACTAAGGACACATGGCAGGCTAGGGAGGATTTAAAAGAAATGGGATTAAGGGAAGAGTTGCATCTACAACCGGGAGGTGGCGCATCTAAAGTTATGCCACCTGCATGTTACACTTTATCACGCCTAGAGAAAAAGAATTTCTGCCAGTTTTTGAGCACTATCAAGTTCCCGGATGGCTTTGCTTCAAACATTCCTCGGTGTGTGAAGACCAAGGAGTGTCAACTTTTAGGAATGAAGAGTCATGACTACTATGTGTTCATACAACGACTTCTTCCACTAGCAACTAGAGGAATGCTGTCAAAAGATGTATCTCAGATTTTAGTAGAGATCAGCAATTTTTTTCGAAAAATTTGTTCTCGAACTCTCTATCTAGATGAGCTGGAAATGCAGGAAAAAAATATTATTTTAATACTATGCAAACTTGAGAAAATTTTTCCTCCAAATTTCTTTGATGTAATGGTCCATTTACCCACTGAATCCAAGATTGCTGGACCAGCCCAATACCGGTGGATGTTTCCATTTGAGAGGTACATGCCTCTTATTTTTAATAATGCCTATTTGATTTACCTCCAATTTTCTTATTTTCTAACAACTCGGGCTGAATTTTTTTTGGATAGAAAAATGGGTCAATACAAAGGCTATGTGAATAATAGGGCACGACCTGAAGGCTGTATAGCTGAGCGCTACTTGGATGATGAATGTCTTACATTCATTTCCAGGTATTTGCATGATGTTCCGACCAGGTTTAATCAAACGGAACGAAATATGGAGAAACACGAAGCTGCTGGAAAATTATCTATATTTTCTAGCTTGGCTCGGCCCTTTGGGGCAGCACTGATTGGTTATCTAAGTGAGGTTGAATTGCAAAGAATACACCTGTTCATCTTGAAAAATTGTGAAGAAGTAGATGATTACATGAGGTAATAATATACTTTAATGCTAAATCTATGCGTGTTCTATAATATGTTCTTCATTGCTTGTAATTAAAGTCATTTGATAGAATATGTAACTACTTCTACTACTACAAATTTAGGGAGCATAGACAAATTCTTGAAAAGCAAAATTTATCGAGCGTACAGCAAAGGCTAGACTCGGAGTTTCCAAAGTGGTTTGAAGAACGTGTAAGTATTGGAAGAGATGTTAAAAACTTGTCAATTTCCTTTACTTTTTATTTTAGTAAACTATTAAAGAATCTGGTATGGCTGATGTAGGTCATGTATACACATGCACGTGGAGAATGTACTGATGAATTGTTGTCCTTGGCTAGAGGACCTGATTTTCGAGTCAATACATTTGCTGGCTGTAATGTGAATGGATTTAGATTCCACATTAAGGCTCGGGAAAGAGAAAGAAAGACACAAAATAGTGGAGTTATGGTAAAGGGGAGCATGCTGATAAAGAAACATACTTCTATGGTATAATTACTGATATAGTTGAGGTTGAATACTCATTTACTCAAAATCGAGTAGTTGTGTTTAAATGTGATTGGTGGGACTTGAGAAATAATTCGGGAATCAAAGTAGACAAGCAGAGCAATATCACTAGCATCAACATGTCAAAAACATGGTACTCAGACCAGCCTTTTATATTAGCATCCCAAGCTGAACAAGTTTTCTATCTTCAAGATATGAAGCTTGGAGGTAATTGGCATGTTGTAGAGTTAGTTAGTCCACGCTCATCTTATGATGTTCCTGAGAAGCATGAAGATGATTTGGTTGATAACGAAGAGGCTTACCAAGAAGAGTATCATGAAGATTTGATTGGTGTACAAGAAAATCTTGAGTTGGTCAGTTTGAAGAGAGGAGATGTGCAAACTGAAGAAAGGATAGAGGCTGGTGCTATGTTTTTTATAGAATTGTCAGCTAGCCGTGCAAGGCAATTGGATGACAATTTTATTGATAATGATGAGGAAATTGAGCAACAATTCAATTCTGAGGATGAAAATGAACAATTTGTACAAATCGATGACTATGAATCAGATTAAACAATGTTGTTCATTGAATTTCTTAATCAAATTTTTTCTTTATTTTTTCTGTAGTTTATGATATGTTGTCATGGCTGCTTGTGTTGTTTACGATTTTGGTGGTGCTTGCGTTATATGATTATGTAGATAGATGGCTGGACCGGGGAAAAAGGGAAAATTTACTTTACGACAAAGTCGGGATGCTGGGCGAGGAATTGTGGAGCAAACTGAAGAAAATGTAAGCTGTCAGGTAAAGAAACAAGAGTCATTTCCAGATATTTTCTTTTTTCCTAAACTAGCAATTATCATCCTAAACTAGTTACTATTGATAAGCGCATTCTTATGTTATTGTAGCAAGCTAGTGAACCAAAAAATAGTGCAATTCCCAAGACAAGCAATGTCACTGAACCTGTATTAACAAAAAAGTCTTCTAGGATCCGTCTATTTGATGAATCTGAGGTTAGTTATTATTTTTTTCAATCTGCCATTTAGATAAACTGGTTTATGACAAAGCAATTGATTCAACTTTTACATGTCGCTGTATAATGGTGGCTTAAATTGCTGGATTATAGATTCCTAGTGCATCCTCTGCTAGAGAAAATGCTACAAGAAATTCAGGTATACAAGCTGAGAGTAGACAGATTGCTGAAAAATCTTCAGGCAATGGAATGACATCACAAGAAGCTGCTGGGATGCAAACTGATGGAACTCCTACTTCACAGCATGTTGGATCTAATCAAGCTATTGGTTGTGAAAGCAATGAAACTGAAAGTATGCAAGACCTTGAGTCAAACGGTTCAGGTATGTCAGTTTTACGTGTAATTCTACTCTAATTAACTAATTACTGCCATGGCTGCTATTGTTAGCACTTATGGTCTTGTTTACTTTGTATCTACTAGACCAAGTGACGTTAAAAAGAAAAAGAGGATATACGCGTAATATTGCACTATCAAATGAAAAGAAAGCTGGAAAAAAGGTGAACATTACTGTTTCTGAAATAAGTGGAAGACTAGTTGGAGAAGGTGCTCAGCGATACATTTCAGAGGCAAGCTGCGTTATTCGAAAGTATGGCAAGTGGAAAGCACCTAAATGGGGCAAGCTTCCTAAAGATGATAGAGATCAACTGCTAAGAATTACTAATGTAAGAATCTGCTATCATAGTATTTTTTGGTTTTCTAGACGCAATTTAAATTAGTCCATTAATTTTTTCTGATTTTGATATGTCCTTCTATTTTTAATTCAGAATAGTTTCACTTATGATGGAGGAGAGCATGTGAAACCAGCTTTAATTAAGCAATTAAATTCACAGTATAGAAGTCGACGTTATAATTTTCACATGCTATTCAAAAAATGTGGCTCTAAGGAGGAAGCTCTTGCACGTCGACCAGAATATGTGGAAGAATCAGATTGGATTTACCTTTGCGATTACTATTGTAGTCCAGAATTCAAGGTATGTGTAGCACATACTTGTTAATTTGCTATATACTTTGCCAATGTCTCTTTTTTATCTAGATCTGAGATAGAATTGACAATTGTAGGCCTTAAGTGAGCGAAATAAGCTGAACAGATCAAAGCAGCAAACTGCCCATACAGCTGGAACAAAATCATTTTTACGTCATAAGGATGACCGGGTCAGTAAACGTGTAAAGTAGTTCATTTATGATGTGTGGTTGGGTTATTTAACCTGTTTTGCTAATAGGAAGCTAAGGAGGGAAGGACAGTTGGACCAATTGAACTTTATGACATGACACATTTTAGTCGAAAGAAGAATGCTATGGTTGACGAGACATCAGCTGAAAAACTGGTAAGAAAAATATCACTTTCAACTGAATACCAATGCTTCATGTCTCTTATGCATATATCAATAATAGCAAACCTGTGATTGTAGAGCAAAATGAAGGAGTTACAGCTAGAAGCTCAATCTAGTGGTGTAAATCGAACCGAAGAAGACATCTGTATTGAGGTGACTGGGCGTATAACTGGATATGTACGTGGTCGTGGCCCCTCCAAGGCTAGTTTAATTACACAAAAACTTGCAGAGATAGAAGAATTCAAGAAAATGGCCAGAACAAACAGAAAACGATCAGTTGAATTGGAAGTTCAAGTCCAATCTCAACAGCAGCTGATGCAAAGGCTTGAGAATCAACAAGCTGAAATGCAAAACCAGCAGCTTGAAATGCAGGAACTCCTTAAGGCTTTACGAGCAGAATTGCAGTCCAAGAACCAAGGCAATGGAAATGCATCTGGTAGTAATAGCTGGTAATGCATCCTTCTCATACGAATAATTGAATTACAATACTAATGTGAACTGTTGCTATTCTGATCCTTTAACTTATTGATTTTGGGGCTGATGTTATGCATCTGTTTTTGATAATAGCATTTTTTGGGGCTGATGTGACCTGTTTTTGGGTAACTTGTGGTCACTGTGGACTGTTTTTTGGTAATAGCTGGTAATAGCATTTTTTGGGGATGATGTTATGCATCATTGTGGACTATTTTTTGTTATGGTTGTGTAGTTTATGGTTATGGTTATGGTTGATCTGTAGTTTTTGGTAACTTGTGGTCACTGTGGACTATTTTTTAGTAATAGCTGGTAATAGCATTTTTTGGGGCTGATGTTATGCATCATTGTGGACAGTTTTTTGTTATGGTTGTGTAGTTTATTTATGGTTATGGTTATGGTGATGTTGGTAACTTGTGGTCATTGTGGACTGTTTTTTGGTAATAGTTGGTAATAACATTTTTTGGGGCTGATGTTATCCATCATTGTGGACTATTTTTTGTTATGGTTGTGTAGTTTATGGTTATGGTTATGGGGCTGATGGTTGTGTAATAACATTTTTTTGGGGCTGATGTTATGCATCATTGTTATCTGAACTTATTCTTTGGGAAATATCTAGGTATCATGTATATAGTGCTGTTAGTTTATCAATAGAGAGGTAAAAATCTGATTGTTCATCTGCAATAGTATATTATTTCCAAGTATAAGCGACAGACCATGCATGGATAGCAATCTTTTTTTTGCCTATGTAGTGACTTGAAAGAAACAAATATAATGCAAAGGGGGCGTTTGTGAACTTTGATTGGTTTCACCTGTTTAGATGGTCTTCGCTTTCACATTGTGAGGCAAATAGCTCATTCTCTTTGCACAGTTTAATCCTACAGAGGCATTGTTTCCTTCATGATTTATGAAGCATAAACTCCTAATATCAAAGAGGGCTAGTACCTCCTGTATTCACACCTCGTACAATAAGTTGCTTTCTGTGTTTTAATATATAAACAACCAAAAGCATAAAGATTAAACAATAATTACTGTGGGAGTCCAATTTAATTGTTCAATAAGTTGAGCTATTTAAAGAAGAAGAAAGAAAATAAAAAAAAACTGTTTTAGAGAGCTTTTTAGTTGAGCTTATGCAGTGTTGTATTTGTATAGATTGGACTGTGATTTCTAACTTCTTGCTGGTGTTGTAATATGTGGGCCCAAATTATATGAGATTCTTAATGAATTGTAATTTTTGTCTTAATAATCTAAGTCTCATTACTTGTTCTTTATTATTGTACTCCTCCCCTTACCTACTTCTTTTACTCTTTTATGACAGATAAATTCTATTCATACTAGCTTTTGGAAGATATCTATGGTTATGGTTGAAGAATGTTGAAGACAAAATTGCCTTTTGCTCATGGAGTGGTTCATTTAGATGTTCTTCAATTTTCTTAAACTGTGATTGCTTTTGTAAATGTATCTTATGTACAAGTGATATTTTGGACAAATGTTATTTTTGTAGGCATTAGTTGGGAAATGTACACATGAATTTGGCATTTTGAGAATGCTATATTATTACCATGTAATCTAATGTAAATACTTTTGGTTATCAATCGTTCATGTTTATTTGTATGGTTTGTTTAAAATCAATGATTTAGCAATGATTACAGGCCAAATTATGACTATTAAGCTATTAAGAAATTATCTAATGACAAAAAAAAAGTTGTCACAAAATAGAAAATAAAAACTCCTTGTCACAACAGAGACTGTCACTAAATCTAAGCTACATTTGTGACGACAATTGTTTGTCAGTAAAATAGTTATATACAATGGCTTTCGGTGCTTTTTAGTGACGACTTTAAGTAGAGCATTTTTGACAAAAGATCAATTCGTCAATAAAATACTTCCGGATTGTTGTCACTAATGACAACTATTTAGTGATGACATTTCGAGTCGTCACTAAATAGTTGTCATTAGTGACGACAATCTGAAAGTGTTTTATTGACGACTTGATCTTTTGTCAAAAATGCTCTACTTAAAGTCGTCACTAATGAGAACTATTTAGTGACGACATTTTAAGTCGTCACTGTTTACTTTACCGACGGGGATTTAGTGACGACTTTGTGATGATCAAAAAGTCGTCAATGAAAGGTATTTGTGACGATTTTTGTATATTCTGTGACGACTTTGTGTTGTCACTGATGAACAATTTTCTTGTAGTGGGGAGAAATAAACTCCTGATCAGTTTTTCTTTCTAACTCCAACTCTGTAAACTTTCATATCTGATATTTAAGGCTACTCTACAGTTTAATAGTTATAGTTGGCTCAATGAGTTGGAGTTAAACTGAAGAAATTAAGGAGGAAAAGCTGTAAACCAAGCTGCTATATTGCTAAAAGAGTTAATGACTAATGCAATTGCTGATGACAGATTTGGTGTGTGACTTTTGATTGAATAAATTGCTGAAACTAGGTGTTATTTGCCCTGGTTTATGATGGACCAAATGTATATTAAGTACTTAGTGCTTTAAGCAAGTGAAAGATGGAGTTTTACTGAAAATTTTAAAGTAATATTGCTGGAATTTCGTTTGTTGGCCAAAATGGTGATGAGTTAAGCCTTCTATGATGTTTTTAGAGACTCTAAGGTAATTTGTTATCCCTATATACATAAAATGGATTCTAATCACTTAATTTCTTCACAAGCATTTTAAAGACTATAAAACTTTGGTGTAGTGGAATAAAATTTAATTTACAAACAGCT